TGCCTTGCCCGGGATTCGAACCCTGAACCTATCTGATGAAAAGACAGTTCCCTGCCCACTACACAGGCCGGTTGGCATTTCTTAGTCTTAAACATAACATATTTCAATGTTTTTGAAAAGCCAAAAAAACATTCAGCAATTCCTTGAGTTATAGAAAAAAGAAATATCGCAAATTATGGAAAACTTTGTGAATGTGCATTAGAATTACTATACAATCTACATTTTATTTTTCAAGCACTTTTTTTTCCTTCAAACTTTCTTGCCTAGAAGACTCGATTAAAGCTGTAAAAATTATTATCCCTAAAATTTTGTATATAGCTATAATAAGTTACGTTAATTTGATTTTAGTATGAAATCCTAGAATAGAAATAGCAAAAACAGCATAATCTAAATAATATCAGATAAAAAGTTATCATAGATAATTTATAAATCGATTCAAATTTTCTTTTCAAAAGAGATTAAAATAAAAAAATTTCTGCCTTTTGGACAGAAATTAGCTTAAAAATTGTCTATTGCCTAGAAACTTCGAGATATTTTCTATTAACAATTAATTAAACCTCTCCGAGCAATCTCAGAACATTATTTCAATTTTTTTACAGTCAGAGCTTGATTGCGTAGCAGCCTAGTAAAATTAAGCATTCCTCTTTTGAATTAGTCAATGGGTTATCTTAAAATATTCATTTGCGCAGGCGACTTTTTTTGACGGTTTTCTGGACTATCGCCAAATATATAAACCTTTATTGCGACCCAATTTTTTTTAAATTTTGTCTTCCCCCCCCTAATTCAAGTGTCTAGATTCCAAATATGTAAAAAAATATATATATATACGTTATTCAGAGAAAGTACGTTTTTGTGTCGGATTTCGTAACTTAATTAATAGTTAGCACTAATTAAATAGCATATTTGAGGTCACCCCCAGGAACCGTTAAGATTGACACTTAGTTCGTGAAAATCTGATCATTAGAACAAAAGTTATTCAGGGTGATTCGTTTTTTTTTTTTTTTTTTTTTTTTTTTTTTTTTTTTTTTTTTTTTTTTTTTTTTTTTTTTTTTTTTNCGAGAACTATTTTTATCTCTATTAATTGCGGCAATATAAGTCTTTCAGTTTTGTTCTTCGTTTCGTAGTATTTATTAACACTGATTTATTGAAAACTTACTTTACTTCAATCCGTGAAAAGAGCGAGTATTCAGGTAGTATGCTATTAAATTAGAGCAAACTGTGATTCAAACAATGAAATCAGACAATGAAACGTATTTTCTCCTAAGGAACATGCATTTTTTGTGGACAAATTCACATCTCGACACACAAATAAATAAGGAGGGAGGTAGCCGCAATTTAAAAAGATTAACGTTACAATTAAAGTTGCTATTTTAAAAGATAACGTTAAAAGATTTTTAAGCCTTAGGGCTGAAGACTGGTTGGAAATTTGGATTCCTTTAATTTACTTTTTGTAAATTTAACCTATTTTCGAGGCTAGATTTTTAATTCAAAATATTTTTTATCACATTTCAGAGTATTTTCACAACAAGAAAATCTTACTTAAAATAGATATTTTTCAAACTATTGATTATTTATAATTATTATTTTTAATTATTATTTAATTTTATATTACATCGAATAATTTTTTCGGACATTTTTGCATCGATTTAAACAGTATAAACGCTTTGTGTGCATCGAATTGTACCTCACTAAAACGTTTTTTTATTTCATTTGTTTTAAAAGTTTTTTAATCCTTTTGAATATTTGAATTTTTAGAAAAAAAAAACAAATCTATGCGTACCACTTCTAAATTTTATGCCACACTAAAAAGTTTAAAAAAAAAAAAGAATTTTTTTAAAAATGGAAATAGCAAATTTTTTCAAGTAAATCCGAGAAATTACGCTTTCACGTTTTCAGAGTGAAACACATCACTGATTACAGAAAATCTGCAGCAATTGTTATAATCCAGTGTTTTGAATTTCACCTAACCTGGTGGTTCAGGTGTTTCAAATAATTTCTTGTAATTTATTTTATGCATAATTTTATTTCCGTATCTTGTTGGACTGTCTTATTTGTATCGGTCAGACCTCCTGTGATTGCGAAGGGGAGCAGAAAATTGCTTTCTCTTAAACTAGTTAACATTATCAGTGCATGCACCCTGCTGATTTTAACATTGTGATCCAAAAGCATTGACTTTCAATTGTGTAGAGTAATATAATAATTCCTATTTCACTAACTTCATGACTGAAGTAAAGACCACCCAAGTCAGAATACAGCAGATGGTGAATCTAGGAGGAAGATTCATGCAGTAACATGAAAAGGAAAAATGGTTTAAATGTAACCCAATTTCAATCCTCGTTCGCTAATTTTAAGTTAGCAATACTGATTTGTTAATTAAAGTTTTTAATACTCAAACAATCAACGGAAACGGAAAAATCTAAACATGTTTTCACATCTCTTTTTTAATTTCCACAAATAAACTGATGGTAAATACTTTCTCTATTTGGTAGTATCTTTCAATACATGTAAAATACATGGTCTTCACCTTATCACAATTTGGGAAATAAAGTGCAATTTAGATTCTCCTTAACTTTTTCTGAGAAAAATAAACTTCTGAAATTAAGAGTTTTTAAAAGGTGGTTAAATAATATACATTTGTCTGTTTTGAATTTTGATATATATATCTATATTTTTGTGTAATTTACGTAATAAAAATGATTGAAAAAAAAAATTCAAAATTCAAAAAATTAACAAATGTGTATTTTAAATGACTGATTCAAAATGACAAATAGCTGATTTTTATTGCTTTAAAGTTATAATCGAGGAAACGTATAACGAAGTTCTGAAAATAATTAAACACTATTTTTCATGACAAATTAAGCTACCCAATAATTTTCTTTATCTTATTTCTTTATTTATTTTTGAAAGATGCTGCGCCGTCGAATAATATTACACCCTCAAAAGTGAGTAAAGTACAAAATAAATAAATAAATATTAAAAAAAGGTAGACCAAAAATTCTTCTTAAAATCTAATATGGCGAGGTAGAGACCTCTTAAGTTGGGAAATCTACGTAAGTTGGATATTTTCCCCCCTACCAGATAACGAAATGCATAATGGTAATGTTACTTTCTCCTTGTGATTGGTAATGTTAAGGAGAAACACTTCCACAAGCTTCTTGGATAGAAAAAAAAATCTTGAGGGCACATTTCGAAAGAAGGGGAATATAACGTTACAAATAACGTTAACAGTAGTCAATTCTGAATTTTATTGAATATTTATGTTATATGAACTAAATGTTCATTATTTATTAATCTAAAAAAGAAAATTAATGGCACATTGAGTAAGTGAAACAAAGACGCCTTTTATTTCATTTTCTTAAGGAAAGAGATTTGAGAATTAATTTTTAAAATGAAATTTTTGCTGAATTAAAATGATAAATAAGTTTAAACTAAAAAAAAAAAAAAGAGAAAAAATAGGAAGAAGGAGAAATAACTGGAAAGTAATGCAATGCAATGATACTATAAAACATATATATGGTATATTTTCACTACACTATATAATATATACATTTGTGTGCGTCTTGAATAGAAGAAAACGTACTTAGATATGAATTTTAATGTCATTTGGCAAGATTGTTATATAATCCCACAAACCATTTGTTTAAATACATTTCAATCTTCATATGCATGAATGGAAAATGTTCGAATATTGTTTTAAAATTGAATATTGATATTTCTTAAATAATATATATATTTTTATCCAATTTCAAATCTTTTTAGCAATTTTTGCCTCATTTTCCTCAAATCTTATAAACTCTAAACATTCTGCGTTTTACTTAAAGAAAACTTATAGAATTACAAATATGGAAAATTTCAAATGTCTAATACAACCAATTAATTAACGTTAGGTCCCATATTACGGAAAATTGCTTCCTGCATAACAACTACAATGATCGCTTTCATAAATATTTCAGATTATTATTAAATTAAAGGAAGAAAATCTTTTAAAGATTTTTTGAGATGTTTTCGATGAAATATTTTATAATTTTAAATAATTGTCTCGGAGAAGCGATTTAATTTTTTTTATTGTAACTAGTTTAAATATTTTTCTATAACACTTGCTAATATTTTAAAATATTCTTCTTCTATGAGGACTGCCTCTTACAGTAAACCAGGGCTGTCCTAATGAGTTGTTTTTTACATAGGAGTCTAGTATTTTTTTTTAAAAATTAGTAGCCTGTATCTAATATGGCTGCTCAACATTCAGCTTTCGAAGCCTGTAGCGGTTAAATTAGTCGGATATATGTTTTAATCAAGATTTTAGCTCCATTCCTCTTGTGACGAGATCTAAGTTGGTGTCTTAGAATGAAGTAGCATTTATTTATCAGTATCATGCAGAGATCATTTCCAACACTCATTTTTTTTTTACTTAGTGTCCGCTGTTCGATGTTATAATTAGTTTAGATTTAATTGATTAAGTTTAATTTAAAACGTGATTTACTTTCTGCACATCCATTTCAATTATTTGTCCCGTTTACCGAAAATTAAAGCGGTTAGTACAATGTTCACAAAAATGAAGTATTATTAATTATATATATATATATATATATATAATTAATAATAACAAATTTTTTTACTTGCTCGTGAAGTAAAAAATAACTTTTTTCGAAGAAAATAAAAACTAATTAAAATTTTGAAAAAAGGAAAGATGTATTTTTTACTACGTGAAAGGTATTAAATTCATTATGCACTAAATGGAGTTTAAAAATAATTTCCTACTTTTTTTCTTTTTTTACGCAGAAATAAAATTCTGAAGAGATTTCTTTTTATTTACCATGCATCCATATAAATGTTATGAACAGAACTTTTCATTGTAACAATAACCATCATTCGATCTTCAAAGTAGGGTGTCTGGTCGCTACCTTATCAGTTGCGATTTCATCCTATTCAAAATTGACATACCTGTATTTAACTATTCATTTGTATTTGTAGTTAAAGCAGTTTTCTTATGATTTATTTTTACTATCACACCAGTTGTTCTCATAGTTCAACATCTGTTTGCTATTGAACACGAACATGCATTGTTCAAATCGCTATTGCACTTGTCAAGGTTAAGATCTTACCATTCACTATATTCATTATTTCTACTCCCACTAATTTATCAGGATTGACCACCCACCTTTAGTTGACCATCTTATCAGCTCCTATTCAGACTTGTGCAGTTGATGGTCAGAACCACTTGATGTAAGCCACCTGTGAAAGAATATCGTCCACTACAAAGTCATTAGTATATGAGTATAGGAATAGATAAGCAACTGAGTTCTCTGTAGAGAAGAAATTTAGTCTAAGAAATATTTAAATTAAATTTCGAATTCGTACGTTTGTTGAAAAAAAAAAGACTTGTGAAACGTAAGTTAAAAATGTTTATTTATTCTTTTGTAATTCCTTAGAGCTTATATTGTTTAAATTTTTATTTTAATGTGATTTTGAAATTTAATGTACTCTGTCACTGATCATGCGCACTGATATTCTACAGTTTTTAGCTGAGTTATAATATGTAATGCATGATCTCAAGGGGGTTAGGCAGGGGATTTTTTAATATATTTATGTAATTTTTAAAGTGGAATAAGCAGCAAAACATTTAGTTTTTCAAGGGAAGTAGAAGCGATTAATGATTTCACAGACTTATAATTAGTACATTTTTATTTATTTTTTGCAAAGAAATACTTTAATATTTTTTAGTAAAAAAGAATTTAGCATTTTATATTTCTTTTCGCAATCTTTCTTTTAGTATTTCAGATTAAATTTTATTCATTGCTTAAATAGAGTAATTTCGTACTAGATTTTTATAACTTAAATTTGAATCTTATATTATTAATAAATATTTTAGAAATATTCAAATTATTTAATCAATTTTGTTTATGTAAAATATTTTGCAATTTCAACTACCTCTATAGAATGTTAAAAAAAAATTAAATAATTTATGATTTTTTTATCAGATCAAGAGGGAAATATTTTGTAAGCAATTTTTTACTACTTTACGCATAATATTCTATTAAAATATCCTATTACCCATACATATTATACCTGTTTGGTACTCTACGCATTGTTTTCATAATTTTCAATGCAAAGAAAGAGGGATCCTGAACTATAAGTATATATAGTAGTAAAATGCTAACTATGAACTAACAATTAATATTATAGACTAAAATTCAGCTAAATATTATAAGCTGACAAAACAAATTTGTTTTGGAAGCTCAAATTTATTTATATTAAATTAATGGAAATTGATATTTATCAAAAAAAAATATTTCACAGATATTTTAACCTGCGCGCTAATTATAATAGATTCCTAAGAAAGTTTGTCAGTAAGTTTATTAAATTTTCTTCGCATTTAGTAAATGATTAATTTTTATAATTTTTAACTATAATCGATATCTATTGAGTTATTTTTTCTTTATATTTTTTTTTTGTAAGCTTGTTATTAGATATTTCCAGAAACATATTTCATTCAGTGTAATAATTTATTCTTGATATTTAGTATATAATAAATTAATTCAATTTAATTATATTTGAAATCTATTGAATAATTTAATCTTCCCTGATGTTTTTATTTGTGTGCTAGTTGTGTGAGATTTCAAATAAAAAAAAAACATTTTATAATTTTTCTTTAAGTGTAATTTAATTAAATATTTAACATATAATTTGTCAGCGTAATTTAATTACATTTATTATCTATTAAATAATCAAGTATACCTCAATTTATTTTAACTTATGCTAGTTATAGATGGTTTGTAGAAAAAATTTTCAGTTTTTTATTAAGTGTAACAATTTAATTATATATTTGGTACATAATTAAAAATAAAATTTAATTATATTTTATATCTTTTGAACAATCTAATTTTCATTGCATTTTTTTTTTTTGTATAAAAGATTTCTAAAAATATTTGTGAGTTTTACTAAGCTGTAGATTAAATTCAATACATGTTTCATTAGATATTCTTGACATTCAGTATATATATATATCTATATTAGAGATTGTCAGTATATATGTAAGTAGTCATTCATAAAATTACGATACGAACTTTTATTTAATTGTTCGTCTACCAATTTCAAAGCTTTTTCCCTTATAGCAGTGTTTCCCAAACTTATGACTTTCGTATAACCTTTCTAAATTTTTCGTAACAGTGTATCACTTATGAAAAAATGAATGTATCGTTTACTATAAAAAATTGCATAAAATTTAAAAATCACAACTGGCTGGTTATTGACACCACTAATTATTAACTGATAACTCTGCAAAAAATAGCCTGGGGGTACGCGTACCGCACTTTGGCAATGCCTTAGAGACAGGATATATTTTACTAAGCATAATTGAAGAATAGATTAATACATTTAAAAATAAGTATATTCAGGGGTGGTTGTGGCTTTTAGAATACCTTAGTTTTACTAAAAGAAAATATTTTTAGGTAGAAATCCTGAGTTTAGGAAATTATAAATTTTTCTCATAATTTTTTTAAAAGAGAAGAAATTGATAGAACTATTTATTTAAATCTTATTTCATGAAATTTTAATGCTTAAATATTAGTATAAAAATCATCAAAATAAGTCTTATTTTTTAGATAATAAAAATACTTACATCTATAACTATTAATAGAGCTTAATCGATAGTAAAAATTAAATAAATCAAAATAACTTTAAAGAACTAATCTAAATATTTTTGAAAATTTTATTTAATTTATTTTTGTAAAAATAGATGCTTAATGTTACAAATATGTTTTGAATCATAAATAGGACACAAAACTTGCTCATTTCTTAATTTTTATTCATAGAATTTGTTTTATGAACTATTTGGAAAAAGTCACGTGAATCGGGATGTTTGATTTGAAATTAGATGAATTTGAATCACGATATTGATTCAGTGGAGTAATCTGATTTTTCGAAAGTGTGATTGTGCATTCTCGTCCTTTAGCTAATTTTTAATATGTGTAATTCAGTTGTTGACAATAGTAGTCTAAGGGACGGAAGTGACGTCCTCATAGAACTTTAAGGGATGTTTATTTCTGTTGTGTTTATTCATATTAATTAATAAATGATTTAAGAAAGCATCTTATGTTTAAAAAGTCTAGGTTATGAATAAAAGTAATTGGTATCATCTATTCAATTAAGATAAATAAATAAGAATATTATGTTTTAATAGCGCATACTGCTTAATACTATTAAATGTTTATTAAAAAACTACGTAATTTTGGAATCAGTAATAAATATTAATATGAGTATACAAAATATATATTTATTAATTTCGTCTTTAATTGTTTTTTAAAATTACTTAAAGCGAATTAAAATACATTTTTTTATTCAAAAAATTTAAACTGCTTTATATTACTTGATATGATTAATAAATTGATTATTTATCGTATATGTATCGAACTTCAAGATTCATAAATAGATTTAAATAAATTGATAAAATTAGTAGGTAATGATTAATTTTATTAAATTTCTATACAAAGGAATAGAAAATTATACTTGTTGTATATATTCATGTAAATTAATAAAGGATTTAAGTAAGCATCATTCATTAATGAAGTCTAGAATTTATTATAAATAAAATTAATTGACTTCATATAGTCAATTAACATAAATTAAAGTAAATTATATTTTTAATAACGTATATTATGAAATAATATGAAATGTTTATTGAAGAGGAATTTTTTTAATCAACTTTATAAAGTATATGTGCATATTAGTTTTCTTTTCCATGATAAATTACCTTTATAAGTTTAAATTATATACTAATCATCTGACCAAAATTATGCTTTTTACTTTTCAAAACCATATTTTACGCTTTATGTGTCTCAATTATAAAAAACATCATACTTTTCTAATATTTACTTGGATATATCTAACTCACATTACTCCAGTTCATTATGTAAAATAGGAAAATATTTTATAATTTAAAATATTTGAACATTACATTTCGATTTAAATATTCTTTGGCACTTATTGTTCAAACTGACACCATAGCTTAAATTTATTTTCAAAACGTGGAAATATTTTTCTCATCAGTTTTAACAAAAACTTCTCTATTCTCTCGTTTTTTATCATTTAATGTACCAGAAGTTTTTGTTGATATCCTTTGTGACTGATTAGTAAAATTTATGCCTTCAGAATTTCACGATTATTTGCGATAAGAATTTTATATTGCAAGTTAAATGCTTTTTGCGAATTTTTTTCTTTTAATTACTTCATATACTGCTTCGCTGCTCAAAATCTAAATGACAAGAGTTTTTTTTTTGTTTTAAAAATTTCTTACTAATTGAATCTTACTGCAAAATTAAGTGTTTTTTTTTCTAGATTTGTTCAGCTTTTTTGCTTTAATTATGGATTATTTATCCATTGTTCTATAAAATTTATTTATCCTCCACGACAACTTTATTTTTTAAAATCTCTTTCGAGTGGATATTTATTTAATACAGGGTCTAATTATCGCCTAGGCCCAATAGGCATGGGTCTAGGGCCCACAATTTCTGAGGTGCCTCAAAAATTAGTAAAAAGTCTAATGGAAGGTGAGATAGCTTTGCGTTGGTTTAAGTACTAAATAAAAAATAATTACAGCTAATAAAAAAATAATTTAGCTAATCAGTGACTTTTAGCAAAAATCACTGATTTCAATTGTTTTGCGGTCACCAAACTAGTTTTATTTTGACATAACATTGTTTTGTTGTTTTATATTTTGCTTTAATTTATAGATGCGTAAACTTTATCTCAGAAAAATAATCCTCAATTGTCTGCTTTCAAAATTTCTTAGAATGTTTATCTTGAATCATGCAGTTCATTATATTCTTCTTTATTGTTGGGACTAATTACTCAAAATATTAAGTAAACTTCAGTACTTTAATTTCAAAATATTTTGTAAGGGGCCCGGGGAATTTGGTGGGATTTGTCTTTAGGTCTGGATTTGTCTTGATCGGTTTCTGGTTAAATATGGAAGAAAAGAGTGCAAAATTGCGTGTTGTAAAATAACTTAATAATAAATATAAAACTTTACGATTTTAGTTAAATTTAAAAAAATAATAATGAGTAATGACAAGCGTTCTCTGAATTGCAATGAGTTTCGTTAAACGAGAATTATTACTTCGAATTATCGAGTAACACATTCAAAACAATTATTATTTTTTTTTGATGATTATTTTTTAAGTTCAGGGAACTGTCCAATACTTTCCGATTAACTTTTCAAAAAATATTTTTTCCTAAAACTAGAATAATTGTATATTTTGCAGCCGAAATATTGCGTGATTTTTTAATTTTTTTTTTTTAAGATTAAGTAAACAAAAATGAACCAGAGAGAACCAGTTATAGGGACTGGCGAGCATAGCTTCCAGCTTCTTTTTTTAAAAAAGTAAAAAAAAATTGTAATATGTCTTTGATATATTAAGACCAATTGATATTTTTCTTAACCATAGAACAGTGAAAGTATTAACTAGAAAAAAAGAACATTTGGTCCATGACCTTTTCCTGAAGTTTCCTTTTCTTAAACAGTTGCACATTTTTATCATAAATGCTATAAGTGGCGAATGAACATTTTATCATTATTTGCAACGATTTAGGCAACTTATTTTTTCGTTCATGTTTGGCTTTCTTAAAATTTATCGTACATGAGACATATTAAATTTGCATTTATCTTTTTTAAATACTCTTATTGAAATACACCAAGCATGATATTATAATTACAATTTGATTGCTAGTTCAAAAATTACTAAATTTTAAACTTGCAGTAAAAATAAAAATTATGTTTGTAGATGAAATGCAACTACACAGAAATTTAAAGATGATCAGACCATTTTGCATTATAATTTTAACAAGAGTTTTTTTTAATATTTATTTTGTTTCTTTTTTCTCTTTCTATTCAAAATTTATAACTGTTCAAAAGTTATAGCAAATTTAAGTGTTTTTGTTTCAAGATTTGTTCAGCTTTTTTACTTTAAATACTGATTATTTAATCATTGTGGTTTAAAATTTATTTTTCCTTTACGATATCTTTATTTTTTAAAATAGTGCTTCAGTCGATGTCAATTGAATATAGAAAAAGAGTGCGAGAGGTTGCATGCTACTAGATGTAAACTTTACATTTACTGAAGCTTTACTTTTTCTGAAGTTTTCTTTTCATAAACAATTGTGCACTTTTATCATAAATGCTATGAGGAGTATATAAACATTTGCAACTCTTTAGACGCCTTATTTTTTCATTAATGTTCTGCTTTCTTAAAATTTATCGTCCATGAGACATATTAAATTTGTCTTTTTTCTCTTTGCATTAGTCTCCTTTGTCTCTTATCGAAACATACCAAACATTATTTTCAGATTTTACTTTCTTAAAGCTATGGCCGAGCAGAATGTGAAGCAATTACTGAGAACTGAGGCTGAATATACATTCATTGATTTAATGGACGAAGTAAGTTTGTTTTGAATTTTTATTAAGAACACTGTCTTTATTTTATTTTTCATTTTTTTTGCTTCCTACGTGTTTGTAAATATATTCCACTGTTGAATTTAATATTGTATTACACATATTTTTTACTTATATTACTGAACAAAATATTTATTTAATTTTTTTCCTAATAACTTTTATCCAAAAATCAAAAGAAATGTTCAAAAATTTAAATTTTAGTTTTTTAATAAAAAGTATAATAATTTCTGAAAAGTTAGAAAGGGATTTTTACTTATAAGATTAGCACTGTACATAGTTCTATTAAACCGCATACTGTTCTTTTCTTATTTCAATTAGTTGAAACATAGCAGCGTTGATATTTACTATTTTTCAGCTCTAAATAAACGGATTTCAATAGGAGTTTATAGCATATTCGTGAATAATTTTCCATGTTAGATTCTTTATTCTAAGTTCTTCATTCTACGCACAATTATTGTTGGCATGCTGAAGTTACCTTAACTAATTCACATTTTTTACTCAATAAGAAACAAAGTGCTTATTTTTATTTTTGAACTGAGATTTTCTGAACATAAATAATATTATATTTAGGGTAATTAAAAGAAAAATTAAGTTCCGTTGTGAAACTCAAATTTATGGGAAAGAGCTAGAAGTAATTAAACTATTTTATTGTGTCAGAACTGTTCTTTAAATGTTCCTCTCAGTTTTATGCGCGATTTCTCAATGTTGATAAATACTGATATGTTGATTTTTTCTACTATACTTTTTCACCCTTGCGAATAACGAGTATTCAACAGGTGAAAAAGAAAGAAAGAAAGTTGATTGAATTGTAACACTTTTTATTTTAATTTTTATGAATCAAAAACCCAATATGAAGAACATTTTAATGATGAAATTCAGTTATATAGAATAAATTATTGGTTTTCAGTTCCATATTACGTAACTAACAATCATACAACACCAATAACTACAATAATATGCGACTAAAAATAAATCTATTTCCCTTTAGATGGTACGATTTAAGAAACCAAATTCTTCATTCGTAATATATGCTTCCTATATCGTAACAATCTAGAAAATTTGAGTAGGTATGAATAAGTAATAGACAGTATATAACCCAAAATAAACGTAAAGGTAAAAGGAATTAAAATATCCGATAAGTTATTTAGAAACTTAATAGTTTTTCACTAATTAAGTTCTTTAAGAATTAATTGTTAAAGAATATAACTATCATTAAATGTAAGACTTAATAGGTATATGGTTCAGTTATGTTTTTTAAAAACATTTAAAACCTTCTATTTCTGACTTGGCTAGCACAATTTTGAGGAATCCAAGTCTTATGCAGCAAATATCGCGCCACGTCTTCAACTAAATGTGACTCATTCGCAAATCAAAGATATCCGTCAGGTTCGACTTCAATACTCTTATCTTGCGAAGAAATGGATATTTGATCCAATTTCTTTAATTTTATATTTATTTGCATCTTTTCAGTTCACTTTGTAGAGTTTGCTTATAGCTCTATGTAATTTAGAATGCTTCGGTGCAGAAGAAGGTGCATTTGAGTTGTTAAATTCCAAGCAGTCATATGATTGCTTTATTACGAAAAGACCTGAATCCAATTGACTCGTATCTAGCATTAGATTTTCTGCTGGTAAATCGTCAATCCGGCTGAAGACTGATGCATAAATTAGCCATTCATTAGCTCTCTGGACAGACGTCTGTCCTTAATCAGCAGATTTTGAATTAGACATTGCTCCAGAAAATATTGAACTTAAATGTTTCGTTTTACGTTACATTTTAAACCAGGTATTATTTTACTTGGTTCATGTTCTGACAAGCTGAAGAAAGCTCAATTTTGAAGCTTAACCTATTTATTCCACCTGGTACTCTTTACCTCAAACAACAGCTAAAGACTGATAAATCAGTTGGTAAACTACTTGTATTCTTAAATCTTTGGATGGAACTTTTAATTTTTGCTGTTTAATTTCATACCTACGTCACTGAATTTTGAAACTAAAATTACACCGAAATGGTAGTTTTGCACTTTTATTCTCGACGGACAGAACTACATTGTATATGAATTAAATACGTAAGTCATGTGTGTTTTTCCTAAAAAATTGTAAAAATTCCAAATTTCAAACTCAAGTAAAAAATTATATCTTTTAATTTAAAAGTTAATGAGGCAGATATATTCTTATTCTGAGTATTTGAGAATTATTCATTTCAATACATTTTCTGGTTTCTTTTATTTATTAGACTTTTTCCTTAATTTGTTTGAAAATTTGAAGTAAGAAATAATAATATTTATGACAGGAATTGGAAATGATGGGAGAAGAGCTATTACATGTAAAACAAATTATTAATGCTCGGGGAAATCAGAGAATGATGACAAAACAAATGGCTCCATTGAAAGAGCTAGATTCTGCTCAAGAGTCAATAATTGAAGAATTCTATCAAAGGTATTGAGATGTAGAAACTTTTCATATATTACATTCAATTTTGCAAAATGTTTTTTTTTACTACTTTTTAAGAATTTTTCCCAGGTTATTCATAATCTTTTAAACATATTTTCTCATTTTAGATTAGAAAGAGAATGTGAATACAATGCGCTGCTGTTAAATCAAGATAATTTAGCGTCGAAAGTAGACAGATTCGAAGACATGTTAGAAGGATTTAAATATGTTTATCAAAGGGTAACTATGCAGCTTCAAGTTTTATTTATAGATATCGTTTTTATTATTATAACATAGCTGCAAATTGCTCAGAATTTTTCAGATTCGTTCCTAATTTTTAAATGAAATCCGATATTTTTATTAAAAAAGTCCGAATCTTCGTAAAATTGGAATATTTATGATTTTAAACCAATCCTTTGTTCTAATCGCCAATTCCTCTGATCATTGTGTAGAACTTTAGTTCTACACAGCATTGTGCAGAAAGTTTTAGTAACTTATTATTGGAAAACACTGTTATAATAGCTTCTGCTAACCATTTCACTAAATAAAATCTTAAATTTCTACTGAGATATGTTATTATGTTTTGAAAAATGCATTGTAGTATTTAAAAACTACTTAAGAGTTTGCATCAGAAATATTTGTTTATGATTCATATTATTATCTACCTGTGTTTTATAATTTGGAGAAGAATAATTATATATTATTGGGTAAAAGTAGTTTTTAAACTATTATTCTGGTATTTCTAATTATAAGATATTGCAAATTTTCCCTTAAAGAAAGTGCTTATAGTTCTGTTTTACTAATTTACATAAGGAATTTAAGTATATTTAATGTTCTAAGTTAATAGTTTAATTTTTATCTTGTTCTCGTAATTGGTGCGTATAATTTTGTCGTGTATAGTGTTCCTAATTTTTGACTCCTAAGGTTGGCAGCTATGTTAGAATAGTAAACAACAATTTGCTTAATATTTTTTCTAGCGATCATTTTTCATAATTTGAGGTATCAATTCTACGATATTAAATTTAAGAACTAAGAAAATATCGAAAAATATAAAAAAAATGAATTTTTTAATACCCGTATTAAATACAAACCGAGCTTTAACTACTAAAGAAATATCTTTTGATTGCAAAATTTCATTTATTTATTAATGTTTCGAATAATTAATACATTATTTTTGTATGTAAATTAGCATTTTTTATATAAAAGTTTTGACTTTTCAATAAAATACTTAGGAAAAATTACATAGCTATTTAACGAAAATATTTTTTAAAAAATTATGTATTTGTTCTTAAAACATATCTCCTTGAGTTATATTTATAAAATTTTATTATTTTTATTTAAAAAAGTCTGCGTATTGTATTTTCTACTTTCAGTTTTTTGGTAACACAGAAAAATTTCAGGTGGCTCAAATTTCTTACACTATTTTTCATTTATGCTATATTCCATATATCAAGTTTTTATATCAATCTGTTCCCTTTTGAAGACATGATAATGTGATATGTAAAAAATAGCTCTTCTTTTTCTCCCAGATTTTTTCTAAAGAAGCAGAAAAGACTGAATTTCTAAGTGACCTGGCAATCAAGCAGGGATGGATAATTAATGTTTTGGAATTAGAGATTAAAAGCGAAAAACAAGTAAGTTGAAAATAATTTTTAGGAGAGAGGAAAAGCTGGAAGTTAAATTTTTCTGTGTTAAATATTAGTTGAATTAATAAGTAACTTACAGTAAGATATAAAAATCTAAGACTAATTCTAAATTTTAACTTTATTCACGAACTAAGAATTTATGTTAAGATTTTAATTCTTGACTGTTTAATGTCTCTTACATTTTGTCTGTTTAATGTTTTTTACTGCTTTGTTTAATTTCGATTTCTTTGAATTTACGAATTGGTTAGTAATGAAAAAGTTGTAATTATAAATTACGCTAAAATTAAGATAGATTAAAAAAATAATATGATCTGGTAAATTACTTTATTATAAATATCAGAAGAAGAATTATTTTTGTTATTATTGTGAAATAAAAGTCTAATTAGAGTAACATCCAATCTATTTTCAAATGACCTTGATTTTTTTGTGTAATAATATATAATAGTAATAATAATAATAATAATAATTTTAAATTATAATAATAATAATTATAATAATAGTAGCGAAAAAAATTTCAAACAAATATTCATTTTAACAGTGTGTTTAATACTCGAATAATACATAACTAATAATAAGTAATCACTAATAATAATAACTAATACTAATAAGTTTGCTTTCTAAGTAAGAAGCCATTATTCAAGGAAGCGAAGTTTAAGTACTGTAAAATACAAGTAGAGAAAATAATAAAGTATTACAGAAAAAGTGATTTAAGTACTTTTGCAATAAATTTAAACTAAATTAGAATTAACGAGTTATGAAATAGTGCGGTATATTACTAATTCATAGTGCTTTAAATTAAAAAAAATGGTTTTCAAATTATCACCCCCTTAGAATTATCATTTCAGTTGAGTTGATTTTATTTTAAGACCCCAATGGGTTAAGACCCCCTGCAACTTGTGTCTGCAGTTTGATGAAAGTTTCAAAAATATACATTAAGTGCAGCCTTTGCAGAACACCCTGTATATATTTGTTTATAGCACTAATTATTAGCAACATTTAGACATTGACAGTAAATTAAATATGCAATCCCTGGTTAAATATTCCTGAATCGTTACAGTAAATAAAAACCTATTTTGAGTACCATGCAAATAATTTTTTTAAATATTTGTTTTAAAAGAATTTTTTTACCCATTTCTGATTTTTTTAAAATGAATATTTTTATCACAAATATTGAATTTTTAGGTCAGAGATAATAGAGCGAAAAAAATTAAAGAGCAGAGAGAAAAATTAGAACACTTGTGTAGTAAACAACAAGCTGAAGTGGAAGATTTTCGAAGAAGACTTCAAGAGAGTGAAAACGAGTTGAGAAATGCAGTATCAAAGTAAGTACTTTTGAAAATTCTTAACAGCACTTATTTTAGTACATAAGATTGATATATATATATATATATATATATATAATAAATAAATACAAGAAAACACTAAGAAAGTTAAGAAAAACAATAAGTTTCATTTATTGCGCTTAAGCTGCAAGTAAACAGAACTCATTAGATAAGTTCATAACGAAGAATAAAACAAAGAAAAATAATAGACATATGAAAAAGGGGGGGAAATAATAAGTAAAAAATAACAAACAACAGTTTATTAAAAATAATAATAAATAAAAATAATTAAAAAATTTAAAAAAAAAAAACGTGTGTATCTTTTTACTATACAACAGAA